GCCCCACGCGGGGCTTGAACTCACGAGCCGCGAGATCATGACCCAAGCGAAAGTCAGATGCTTAACCGACTAAGCCACCCAGGCGCCCCATGAAAGGGAAGGCACTTTAAAAGGCTGAACTCTGGGGGTGCCCGGGTGGCTCAGTCAGTTAAGCGTCCGACTTCGGCTCAGGTCACGATCTCATGGTTCGTGGGTTCGAGCCCCACGTCGGGCTCTGTGCTGACAGCTCAGAGCCTGGAGCCTGTTTCGGATTCTGTGTCTCCCTCTCTCTCTGACCCTCCCCTGCTCATGCTGTCTCTCTCTCTCTCTCTCTCTCTCTCTCTCTCAGAAATAAATTTTTAAAAAAAAGGCTGAACTCTGGTGGGGATCATCAAATAAACACTTGTGGAGCACTTCCCTTAGACGCTGGGCAGTGCACAACCCACACAGCTGTGCAAGGCAGCCCAGTCCCCACCCACGAGTGACAGCCAGGGTACTCACTGTCTTTGGCCCAGAGATCGTAGAAAGGCCGCTCGATGGTGTCCTGGGGCCCCGGCTTGGCTCTGACGGCAGGAGGGTTCCGAAGCCGGGCCTGGGCCTTGCGCACCTCCCGGGGCAGCTCGCCCTGCTCGGCCAGCTTCTCCCAAAGCTGCTCCTTCCGTCTGAGCTTCCTGGCGTTGGGGACCTGGTGGGCGAGGACACTGGGGCGAGGAAAAGCAGCAGGCTGGAGTGGCCGTGGGTGAAGCGGAGGCCTGGCTCCCCCCGGTGGGGCTCCTGGACCCTCCTGCCCCCCCGCCCAGCTGCGGAGCCCCTCTCCGCAGGGCCGTCTCCAGCCACTCTTCCCATGTCCCCGTCGCAGGAGCCGCCCGCTGTCCGCTCCACCACCCGCCCAACCTCCCCTCCCGCGGGCCCGCCACCAAGCCAGCCCGACCGGCCGTGCCACGGCCCCTCTCCACCCCGACCTCCTGGCTGGGCCCGGGCCCTGCACTTGCCTGCCTCGGCCGCCACCCCACTTCCTCCAATCTGGCCCCCATTCCTCTCCTCCAGGTGACCCTCCCCTGCCCCTCCCTCCCCAGGAACTCCCTTGGGGCCAGAAAGTGAGTGGCAGCCGCTGCAACAGAAAAAGCTCCGGGGATGGTGGGGCACTCACTCTTTGGGGACAGGGACTTTGGACGTGTTCTCTAGGACGAGGTCGACACGAAGGGGTTTCTTGAGAAGAAGTGACCTTTTCTGGCTTTTGGTCTTCTTCTTGTTCAGCTCTGGGAGTGGGAGAAAGGAAAGGAATCCAAGGCCCAGGCCTCCCCACCCCCCGCCCCCTGCACACAGCTCCGTGCAGCCATCAGACCCGCGCCCAGGGCAGGCACGGGGGGAGGGGGCCCAGGCCGACCCCAGGCCTCCACCTGAGGACAGAGGTGCCCAAGGTGTCCGAGCTCCGGCTCCCCCGCCCCCCCCCCGCCCCCCGCCTCCTGAGCAGCCCTGTGCAGGGAACACAGTCAGACCCAGAGCCCCGCCCACTACCGGCTTCGGACAAAGCACGAGAATGGCCACAAAGCCAGAAACACTAACGAGAGAGAAGGAGCTGGTCTCGGAACCCAAAGCGGCTGGTCCTCAAGCAGGACCTTGTCTGCCCCTTTCGCCTGGACTGTGAGCAGCACGAACTCCCAGACGCAGGACACCAGGGCGGGACCCACGCCGTGCCTGCGACTCCACTTCAGCACAGACCACACTCCATGCCTCTGCTCCCACTAACGCCCAGCTCCCACGACTGCCTGCAGCGTGGTCTCATTTTTCAAATTACTTTTTTAAGTCTATTGAGAAAGTGCATACGTGTGAGCAGGGGAAGAACAAAGAGAGAAACACACAGAGACAGAGACAGACAGAGAGCCCAGCAGGTCAGTGCGGAGCCCGATGCGGGGCTTGATCCCACAAACCGCAAGATCATGACCTGAGCCAGCCCCCACAAACCGCGAGATCATGACCTGAGCCAAAGTCCAAAAGTTGGACGCTTAACTGACTGAGTCGCCCACCTGCTCTGGAAAAGGAATTGTTACAACACAGAGCCCGGTGATCACCTCAGAAAGTCCACAATCTATTATCACCGCCCCCCCCCCCCGCCCCGGTCTTTTTTTTCCTTCCTGTGTCCCCAGGACCTGAAACTGAGAGCCACGAGTCAGTCAGTCACGTGTCGCTGGAATTGCTGTAGCACTGGAATGGAGCCCGAGAGCCACGGCCAGACTAACAGGCCACGAACAGTGCCTTTCGCTGTTTTATTTTTATTAAAAAAAAAAAAATTTTTTTTAATTTATTTCTGAGAGAGACAGCGTGAGCAGGGGAGGGTCAGAGAGAGGGAGACACAGAATCCAAAGCAGGCTCCAGGCTCTGAACTAGCTGTCAGCACAGAGCCCAACATGGGGCTTGAACCCATGAACCATGAGATCATGACCTGAGCCGAAGTCAGACGCTTAACCAACTGAGCCACCCAGGCACCTCTTATTTTTCGGATTTAAACTTTTTAATGTTTATTTTTGAGAGAGACGGTGTGCAACCAGGGGGAGGGGCAGACAAGGAGAGGGAGACAGAGAAATCAAAGCAGGCTCCATGCTCACAGCAGAGAGCCTGATGGGGGGCGGGGCTCAAACTCGATTCAAATCTGATTTGAAGTTGGATGCTTAACTAACTAAGCTCCCAGGCGCCCCCAGCTTTTTTTCTTTTTTTTTTAAATGTTTGTTTTTGAGAGACAGAGTATGAGCAAGGAAGGGCACAGAGAGAGGGAAATAGAATTGAGGTAGACTCCAGGCTCTGAGCTAGCTGTCAGCACAGAGCCCGATGTGGGGCTTGGGCTTGAACCCATGAACCTTGAGATCATGGACTGAGCTGCCCAGGTATCCCCTCCCCTCTGCCAGGTTTCTTTTTTTAACCCTAAAACAGGGGCACCTGGGTGGCTATCAGGGAGATGGAGAGATTCTCTATCTCTGCACTCTGCCCCCACTTAAAATACACGTTAAAACATTCTTCTTTTTGGTAAATCTAAAGCAGAACCTGTGAACTGCCCTTCCTCTGTTCCCAAAGAGACGCATACTGGCCAAAGCAGGCCTTGGCGACCACCCGGCCCTTCCCTAGGGCAGGCCTGGACTTCCCCTCACTGTCCGCACGCCAGGTCAGCTCGCTTCCGTGCACCTTGACCTCTTTAGCCTCATCACCCCTCACCTGCTTGCTCAAAGGTTCCCGCACCTCAAAGCAGTCCCTTCCCTCTTTTCCCGCTCACCGACCCAGGTGCTCTGGTGTTCCTTAGAAAAGAGCCGGGGCCTGGACTCCTCCGTGCTCCCTGAAGGTGCTCGCCACTTGCTAGCTAAAGCAGACCCCTCAGCCTCGTTTTCTATCCCCTCGTGAAAGCAGACCGCCCACTCTTGGTCTGTGTCTCTCCTTACTGACGGAGAGCCTATGACTCCCTCCAGTAATCCCTAACCCTCCCCCCGCCCCCCTGGACTTTCCACAGGACCCCGCCTTTTGGCAGATAAAAGTGTGCAGATTATGCCAAGCTTCTTAGCTTCTCATCAAAGCTGATCCCACTTATTACTAAACCGCATCTTACTAAAACAGGTCTCCTTCCTTTCAAGTCTTTGACTGTGGCTTTCTGCAAGTTCACTACAGACCTGCTAATGAATATCTAAGCTACTCCCCGCGCAGACCCTTACCGGCCTCTCTGTGCACGGAGAGCTCGGAACTCTCAAAAAGAAAACCTGACGGGTAAGCCTTTAGCGTGCTTTCTGTAGCAGGCGTCCGCCATCCAAGCCCTGTCATTAACAATGACTCTCCCAGAGGCTGTGATGGGGACCCGACAGGCGCCGCTGAAAGCACTCCCTTACCTTTCTTCTTGGAGCCAGTGTCCACGAAGAACAGTTTCTCATCGGGGGCCTCGGATACCAAGCCACTGGGAGGTGGGAATGGAGAAGGTCAGCCAAGGATGTTGGGAAGGATGCAAGCAGCCCTGCGGGGGGGTGGGGGGGGTTAACCTCTCAGGGGCCCAGCTTTCCTCCACTGTTAGGCTCATTCAAGCAACTTCTTCCTGCCATGGGATCCCTCCAAGATAAGGTCCTTCCCTTCACTTTCCATAACTTAGGACTTAACTGATCGCAATACCTAAAATATTAGTCTAAGGCAGGTACCCGGGGCGTATTTACACTACAATTATTAGTTACTTACCTGCACCCTAACTTCACACTGGCGCTCCCATATCCGGTACCCCTTCACGGTCCCCCAACCTCCCACCCAGGATTCCCAGCTTCCCCAGCGGTGCGCGACACGGACGCTCCCAGGCCCCCGGAGTCCCCCTGAAGCACGCTCGGCCTCGCGCCGCGCCACTCGGAACGTGGCCCGGCTCCCGGAAGTCCCGCCCCACGCACCCGCTCGTGCGCTCCTGTAGCCGCACGTCCTCCAGGAACTGGTCGACCTCCAGCCCCAGCGGCTCCTGAGCGAGCCGCCGCCAGCCTCGCTTTCTATTTCGTGGGCCTCGCCGCCGCCGCCGCAGCGCCGGGTCCACCGACGTGGGCCGCAGCCCCAGAAAGCCGGAGTCAGCCTCGTTTTTCAAGCGCGGGGCGCCGCCGCCGCCACTGCCTCCCAGCGCCATCTTGGCAAAGGAAGCGCTCGGCCGCGGGTGCCGCAAAGGCGGGTTTGTGGCCTGCGCGCGCAGATCTCCCGCCCCCTCCCATGACGTACTTCCTGTTGCCTCCATCCTAGTAAAGGGGCGGAGATAAGGGTAAATAGCTCCTCCCTCCTATGCAAATTACTCTTGTCAGTGGGTCGTACGTTCGCTTCTCTAATCTAGGTAAACACCTTTGCGGTTGCCCAGGAATTTCTTGCTTTTAATTTCGTATATTTTTATTTTTATATTTAAATTTTTTATTTTACTTATTTAAAAATTTTTTTATAGTTTATTTATTTTTGAGACAGAGAGAGACAGAGCATGAGTGGGGGAGGGGCAGAGAGAGACACACACACACAGAATCCGAAACAGGCTATCAGCACAGAGCCCGACGTGGGGCTCGAACCCACGAACGGTGAGATCATGACCTGAGCCGAAGTCAGACGCCCAACCGACTGAGCCACACAGGCGCCCCTGTTTAAAAATTTTAAAGCTTATTTATTTTGAGAGAGAAAGGCAGGGAGGAGCGGAGAGAGAGAGAATCCATGCAGGCTCCACACTGGCCGCCCAGAGCCCAATGTGGGGCTCAAACTCAAGAACTATGAGACCGTGACCTGAGCTGAAATCAAGAGTCGGCCTCTTAACCGACTGAGCCACCCAGGAACCCCTATATATTTAATTTACTGATTATCATATTTAATACAGTTTTATTTAAAAAGAAAGGCAGAACCGTGGGTGGCAGATGGGGCAGAAGCCACACTCTGGTCTCCCAATGTTTGGCCTCTCGGTTTAGAGTCCTCAAATGGGAATCCAAGCGCTTTCCGAATGTCGAGGTTGGGAGCATAGAACCTCATATGCCATGAGTGTTAGAAACATACTGTTAGAAGTAGAGGCTCGGAAGGACGCCTGTGCGGCTGGGTTAAGCATTCTACTTCGGCTCAGGTCATGATCTCGCGGTTGATGAGCTCCAGCCCGGCATCTAGCTCTGTGCTGACAGCTCAGAGCCTGGAGCTTGCTTTGGAGTCGGTGTCTCCTCTCTCTGTGCCCCTCCTGTGCTCATGCTCATGCTCTGTCTCTTAAAAACGAATAAACATTAAAAAAAAATTTTTTTTAAAGAAGTCTAGGCTCAGAATCATTAATCTTGGCCAAGCTGCTTAGCTGTGCCTCGCTTTCCTCATCTGTGAAATAGGGACGATAAGGGTTTGTTCGGGACAGGAAACGCGGTAATTAAACGCACCTCTGGCATCTAAACGCTAGCTATTGTTACTGCCTCGCCCCCTGAGACTTCATCTTAGACTCGACTAATCCTTGATGTTTACAAATAAGGAAGGAAGCTCAGAGGCCCTTGGGCGCTGGCCACCGTTCATAGAGCCTCATACAGGCCGTGCAGGCCTGGAAAAGGAAGAAGGGACAGAGAGGGAGGGCGCCACGCCGGGGGCCGCACAGCTGGGTCCTTGCGCTGGGCTTGGGGAAGGTGACGAGCCCTGGAGCCCTGAGCTCCCCGTCCGCCCGCCCGCCGGCCTCGCACAGGGGTCCCCGCGCGCAGCCTGCGCAGCTCCCGAGTGGCCGCCAGAGGGCGCCGGGGGCCGCGAAAGCAGGGAGAGCGCGCGTGGGCGGGGAGAGCGCGCGGCCAGCGTGTCCCGAGCGCCGTGGGTGTGGTCCGGGCGTGTGTCTGGGGCTCAGCCCGCGGGATGCGCCGCGAAGCGAAGGCCAAGGTCCCCGGGCGTGAGTCCTGGAAGGCAGCGCCCCCTCCTCTCCTGCTGGAGCCCTTCTCTCCCCGGGCGTTACGTGTCAGGACGCGCTTTCCACGCTCTGCACGCCGTCGCCCAGGGCGGGGGGCGGAGGCCCCAGGTGGCCCAGCCCGCGCGCACACAGCCCCGCGCCCCAGGGCTTGGTTCCCAGGCCCCCGCGGGGGAGGCGGGAGGGAGGGATGTCCCGGAGGGAGGGCCCCACAGTAACTTTTCTTCGGAAAATATGTCGGTCTGGCCCCCAGCCCGGGCCTGAGTCATCAGGCTCCGCGGCATTGAGTCATGGCCTCCACCCCACCCCCATCCCCCTGCCCCTGAGATCCTGGACACCCCCACCCCCCCGCTCAAGTCCCACCCAGGGCTCTCCTTCCGCGGGACTCGGGGGGGGGGAAGCGATCTGCCCCCCGCCCCAGTTCTTCCCAAGACAGCCTGACACCCTCGTGGAAAGAAGCCTTGGCTTTATTTGCTCTGTGGGGACGCCGGTCGCTGTTCGGGTCACAGGCCCCTCCCAGGCATGGGGTGGGGGGCGACGGGGAGGGTGGGAATCCCAGCGAGCACCCTGGAGGGGGGCATCGTCCCCACCTACGTCAGCCGACCCATGTTTCCCATGGGGTCCCCCACCAGGGTCAAGCACTAGTGTGTGGTGAAGGCACAGAAAGGCGGGGCCGGCGTGAGCGGCCCTTTTAGATGGGAGGGGGGAGGGCTGTAGCACCAAGAGCCCCTCCCTCGCGTCCCTTTGGAAAGGGGACTAAAATAAAGCCCCGAGGCCTTTATATCTGGTAGGGGCGCTACTTAAATATGGGCTGATGGCAGAGACGCCATGCCCCGAATTCAGGCCACCAGCTGTGGGGAGCTTGGGGGAGGGGGCGGGCAGGCTGGGTTTTCAAACTAGGGCAGGTGGGCCGAGGACAAAAATACCTTGAAGTGGGCACAGTCTGGGAGAAGCTGGGAGCCGAGGGGCTTTTCTGTCGCCTAAGAATCCTTATTAAAGCAGGGGGTGTGGTGAGAACCGGGGGGAAGGGGCTGAGGGGGGTCCACCTGAGGAAGTAGGGGGTCGTGTCTCCCCCTCTGAGCTCCCCTGGTCCCAAGGCCTGAGAACATGATAGAGTGGGGTGGGGGTGGGGGGCGGTCCCTGCCTGGATGTCCAGAAGTGGGGCCAGGGGGCCTTTCTGTTATTTCAAACAAATGGCCGCTGAACTATGGAGAGAGGCGAGGATTCCGGCCCAGAATTGGGGCTCAGACGGGTTAGGGCTACGTGTGTGTCTGTGTGACTGTGTAGATGCTCCCTCCTGAGAATGTCAGCGCCCTGCGGGCAGATCCGTCTGTCTGTTTGGCTGTCTGCTGTAATCCTCAGTCCCCCAAGCAGGCTGTGCACATTCAAACATAATAGGTGCTCAATAAATACTTGAATGGACCGTAATTGAATTGATGCCTCTGTGTGTGTGTGTGTGTGTGTGTGTGTGTGTTAATGACAATGTGATGTGCCTAAGTGTATACAAGGGTGGAGGTGCAAAAGCCGGGCAGAGAAGCCGTGCCCCTCCCCTGGTCCCCACTGTCCGGCGGGTGGTGAGACCTCGGTCCTTACAGCTGGGAGGGTGGGCGTGCGGCGTGCGTGTAAGGCTGGGGCAGGGGCGTGCGTGCAGCCAGCCGGAGCTGGGGAGCCACAGCAGTGCGAGCGGGAGGGAGGGCCTGCAGGCAGCGTGGCTGGCTCACTCCGCAGAGCCCTTGTGGCGCCGCTTGGAGGGGGGCACCAGGCGGCGGGGCAGGTTGGTGGGCAGCCCGTGGCCCTCCAGCTTGGCCTCGATGAGGTGGCTGGCCAGGGCGAACTCCTCGTCGTCCAGCATGCCGTCCCGGTCGACGTCGCTCAGCTTCCAGATGCGCCCCAGCACCGAGTTGGGGAGCTTGGTGCCCACCATCCAGGTCTTGGCCTTGGTGCCGCTCAGCTTGCCGTCAGCCGGCGCCAGGTTGTAGAAGATCTCGTCGTACTTGGACTTGTCCTTGGTCACCACCCACTCGGTCTCCTCGTCCGAGCCCTCCTCGCCGTCCTCCAGGGCCTCGTCGGGCCCGCGCTCCACGAACGGGCCCATGTGGGTGCCCTCGAAGGCGCCGCCCTGCACGCCCGCCTCGGTGTTCTCCAGCTCCTCCTGCCGCAGCAGGGGCATCAGCTTGGCGATGTCGTGCGTCAGCATCTCGTCCAGCGCCTCCAGCAGCTTCGGCTTCAGCCCGTGGAATTTGGTAAAGTCGTGAGCCATCAGCAGCTCCTGTTGGGCGGGGGGGAGGGCGGGGAGAATGGGGGGGGCACTGGGAAGTCAGGGGACATCGTCGTCAAGGGTCCCCAGCCCCGCGTGTCACCGGGACACCCCTGGGCAGCTGAAGCGGCCGGTGCGTGAGAATTCAGACCCCTGCACAAGGCGTTCCCCTCGGGCACCCACCCCTCAGAGGACACCTGGGCAGCAGTGTCCCAGAGGCCCTCCCCCGCCGCGTCCGGCGTGCCCGCAGAATGTCCGGACCGCAGGGAGGTGGGGGGCCCCTCCGATGACTGGGCGCAGCCCTGGGTCTGCCCACCCTCCGCGGCACCCCTAGCTGCAGCCGCCCGGCCCCCCCACTGTGACACAAGTCCATTCCCGCTGCTCTGTTAGCTCGTCACCCCGCTTCACAAAAACTCGCTGCCAAGTTGGGAGGGTAGATCTGAGGTGGCCAGATCCCAGGGAGGCCCTGGGAGCCCCCCGTCCCCCCCAGAGGTCATCCTGTGCTGTAGCAGCTGTGGGCGTGGATTTGCAGTCCTGTGGCTTCTTGCGGTAGCTCTCGGTCACCTGGCCCAGGAGAGTCGCAGCAAAGAGCCATCCATGTCATGGCGCTACGTTGATTTCCGGAGCCAAGGCGGAGAGGCCCGCTGACCTGGACATAGAGGGCTGGGGGTCTGGACCCCAGGGCCGGGAAGCCCAGGTTCCAACCTGGTTCTGCCACATAGGAGCTGCGTGTCCTCGGGCAAGTGACCCCACCTCTCTGGGCCTCGGTTTCCACGTTTGCAAAAATGGATCGGCAACACGGGCACGGCCCTCATTTGGGGGGTGGGAAAGGCTGAATGAACTCATCTGGATGAGTGCAGGGAATGCCAGTGTCACGCTAACAGCTGCTGAGTTGGCAACATCTAGCGACACTTTTGATCGTCACAGCTGGTGGGGTGCAGTTGGCATCCAGCAAGGAGGGGCCAGGAAGATGCGTAGGGCACCCCTGACGCCAACACTCTGACCCCGAGTGTCAGCAGCGCTGAGGTCAAGACCTTGATCCAGACCAAACTCCGTGCCGCACGCTGTACCGCTGGCTCAGCACTCCCCGCAATAGGAAATAGTATCGCAGTGCCCATTTTCCAGTTGAAGAAACTGAGGCTCAGGAAAGGGGACTTGCCCAGACTCTCGGAGCTAGGAAGTGGCCAAAATGAAATGCATTCTACCATGATTCCTCGGGGTCTGGGGTTAGAAAACACCTCAGACCCAAAGGTCACAGGCTCTTTGAGTATCAGGCTAATGCAGCCGTAAAACAGAGGCGCAACGCGCCCGGGGGCTAGTCCCCACCTCCGTGCCTGAGCCTGGCCCTCTGTCCCCACGTTCCTTTCGTCACTTCTGCCCTGCCTGCCTTCGTGGTTCTTTACTCACCCCATAGCACGGCACCCAGACCCAGAGCTTTCCCCAAACTGGTTAATCCTAGGCCTGGACGGGCCAGGGGAGCCCCAATATCCATTCGTCTCTCCTTCCTCGGTACTGGACTCCCTGAACATTACTTGGACAGTGGCCACCGAGAGGGAAGACTACATTTCCCAGCGTGCAGCCAGCTCTGGTCACATGACTGGGTTCTGGCCAATTGGATGTCAGCACATGTTGCATCCACAACTATAGAATTGCCTTCTCCAAAATACAGTAATTACCTGTGCTTATTTAAACTTAAATTAGTTACGGGGCGCGGGGGGGCCCTGGGTGGCTCAGCCAGTTAAGCTTCGACTCTTGATTTCAGCTCAGGTCATGATCCCATGGTCTTGAGATTAAGCCCACAAGTCCAGCTCTATGCTGACAGCGTGGAGCCTGCTTGGGATTCTCTCTCTCTCCCTCTCTCTCTGCCCCTCCCCTGCTCATGCTCATGTGTGCGTACATTCTCTCTCTCTCAAAATAAATAAAAAACAAATAAATTTAGGGGCGCCTGGGTGGCTCAGTCGGTTAAGTGTCTGACTTCAACTCAGGTCATGATCTCACGGTCCGTGAGTTCGAGTCCTGCGTCGGGTTCTGTGCCAACAGCTGGGAGCCTGGAGCCTGTTTCAGAGTCTGTGTCTCCTTCTCTCTCTGTCCCTCCCCCACTCTCACTCTGTCTCTCTCTCAAAAAAAATAAACATTAAAAAAATATTAAATTAGTTAAAATTAAATAAAACCTAAGTTTCCATTTCAATGGGGCTAGCAGCTACCATATACTGGACAGCACAACAGAGAGCATTTCCAACATGGTAGAAAGTACTACTGGATGGCACTATTCTAGAAAACATCCTTAAAGAGAGAGATTGTAGGGGCTCCTGGCTAGCTCAGTCAGTACAGTGTGCAACTCTTGATCTTGGGGTTGAGTTCAAACGCCAGATTGGGTGCAGAGACTACTTAAAAATAAAATCTTAAAAAGAAAAGAGAGAGAGAGAGAGACTGTGCCATTATCTTTCCTTCCCTTCTCTCTCACCTCTTCTTGCTGGCTGGAATGCAGATGAAATGGCTGGAGTTTCAACAGCCATTCTGTACCATGTGGGATACTTGGACCCGGACACCAGGCACGGAGGAGAGCTAAGAAGGGTACAGGGTCCCTGGCTCTGTAGAGCACCAAACCAGCCCTGGGCCACCTTCTTTCTAGGACTTTATGGAGAGACACGAACTTCCACCCTGAGTAAACCACAGTCATCTGGGGTTTTCTCCTCTTTCACACGTCCGAACGCACAAAACCATGCTCTTGCGGACCCACACGCAGGAGATGTCTTCCAGAGCCTGCCCTCCATGCCCCTGGTTTCCGAGGCCCCGCCCCAAAGCCCACAGAAGCTGACCCCCTCCGCCCCCCACCAACGGCGACCTCCCACCTGCATCTTCTGGCAGTCGGGAAAGTCGCCGGGAGATATGTGATGTTCCAGCTGAATCTTCGCGAAGATGACCGGCAGCTTGAGGATCAGCTGCTTCTTCTTGTTCTCCTTCCCGAACACGGAGGGCATCTCCTTCTTCAGGTAGCTGATGATGTAGGCGTGCACCTGTGGGGGGTACCGGTGCTTGGCTCAGCCCGCCGCGCCCCCACCTAGAGCTGCTTTTTGTTTTTTTAACTTCATTATTTATTTTGAGAGAGAGAGAGAGAGAGAGAGAAAGCTGGGGAGGGCCAGAGAGAGCGAGAGAGGAGGAGAAAGAATCCCAAGGAGGCTCCACGGTGCCAGCGCAGAGCCCAAGGTGGGGCTCGAACTCACACACCGTGAGAGCACGCCCCGAGCCGCAATCAAGAGTTGGACGCTCAACAGACTGAGCCCCCCAGGCGGCCCCCCCCGTCCCCCGCCCAGGGCTCCTGATTCAGGAGCTCCGGAAGGTGCCTTCTAGCACTTATGGGTGACCGCCACTCCGCTGCAGCTGGGGGTTGGGGTGGGGGGAGGAGGGCGGGAAGGTCCCCTCCCTCCTCTCCTAGGCAGGCCGTCCCCAAATGTACATACCATCCCGGGGCTCTGTCTGGAGCTCGGGACCCTGGCTGCCTGGCCACATTCCTGGGCAGCCCCTGTCTTCCGAGGCCCAGCCACCACCAACCCCCGCCCCCAGCTCTGTCGCAGGCAGCTGTGCCCATCTCGGGAACGAACTCCCTCCCCAGCTCAGGCCGGGCTTGCAGAAAACTTTGCGGATCTGATGCTCCTTACCCCGCACCAGCCACAGCCCGTGCATCCGGGAGCCCCCTTCCTCTCGCCTCCTGCATCCGTCCCTCTGCTTTCACTTCTGTCCCCCTCGGGTGCCACCCCCCCCGGCACCCGTCAGCATCTCATCCCTGGGGAGACACGCCAGGCGCCCCTCCCGCCTTGCGGCCTCCTCTGCCCTGTGATCCCTTCTCCACACAGCAGCAGCTGGTGGGGCCTTTTTCTCTGTGTTTTGGGAACAAACACCAGACCGGGAGACCCGGTGCCCAAGTGTCGATCTGCTCCTCATCCAAGTAGAGAATCCCCGCCACAGCCCACAAGGCTCTCAAAGGGTGGTCCGGGGAACCCCAGGGGTCCCCCCACCACCACTCGCCCCACCCCCGCCAGGCCCTTTCAGGGACTCATACAGTCAAAACTATTTTAATAGCAATACGAAGGTGCTATTTCCCTCCAGTGGACAGAGTGGACAGTGGAGTCTTTAAAGGGCCACAGGACGTGTGAAATTGCAACTGACTGAATGCAGGAAGCCGGACATTAAAGACATGTGCAAAAAATGTAAAACAGGGCGACCGACCCCTGTAATTCTGGAGGGTTTGGAAATAATTTTCATAAAACATATGGGACTGAGGTTAACACGTGATAGGCTTATTACTCTTATTTTAAATGATCTTGTAATATCTATTATCGATATTAATAAATATAAAGAAAACTATCATAAACCTGTCGATAACCTAGAAATACATTGTTACTTAATAATTACATGATTATTGTTGGTTAAGAAATATGACAAGAGGGACACCTGGGTGGCTCAGTTGGTTAAGCGTCCAACTTCAGCTCAGGTCATGATCTCACGGTTCATGGGTTCAAGCCCCGTGTCGGGCTCTGTGCCAACAGCTCAGAGCCTGGAGCCTGCTTCGGATTCTGTGTCTCCCTCTCTCTCTGCCCCTCCCCCACTCGCTCTCTGTCTCTCTCAAAAGTAAATAAACATAAATTAGAAAAAAGACATATGACAGGGCGAATATTAAACACTGTCTGAGTTTTAATTTCTAACGTGGTCAATATAGACAGGTTCAACCCATGCACCTACGAACGTTGGGGCCCTCAATCATTTTCAAGGGTGCCGTGAGCTCCTATGGCAGAAAGCTTTGAGAACTATGGTTCTCCATGATTTTGGCTCCTGGTGTTTCATCCAGCATCTTCCCCTGCCCCCCAACTCACTGTGCCAGCTCCCTCACCTCCCTTCCTTGTACCAGCATGCCAATCTTCCCCTTACCACAGGGCTTTGCACACGCCACTCTCTGCCTGGAACTCTGCCCTGATCTCGCCAAGCTGGGCCCCTCACCTTCCTTTCGATGTCACCTCCTCACAGAGGCCATCCTATGAGAAGCAGGTGCCCCAACTACCACCATCCAATTATTTTCTACCTGCGCTTTCCCCCTCCACCCCCACGTTTATTGCAACTTATTATTTTTCTAATCTGGTGGTTTACTTATTCTGTCTCCTACCATCAGAATATGAGTCCAAGGAGGGCTAGGACCTTATCTATTCCCTCTGTCCCCAGCACCCGGTACAATACACACAGAAAACACTCAAGAAACACTTGTGGAGGAAAGCAATGAACTTGGGAATGTTTTGATCCCCAATCTCATAAGTTATCAAAAAACAAACAAGGAGGGCAGAATAATGAACACTTGCATTTTTTAACCGGAAGCTCGGTAATTAACTGCAAATGCTTAAATAAAAATAGAATACATCTGGAAAAAGACACAAGTGACCCCTCATGGGGGCCGCCTCCAGGGAAGAGGCCCTGGGAGCGAGCCGATGGGTGGGATCAGGGGTGGGAAGGAGCAGTTTAACTGAGCTTAAATGCTTTGCCATGAGACGGTTTTAAAGTTCTTCTGAATGATTCATAGGTTTAGAATGCTAACAATTTTGGTGGCCCGGCCCCTGGCTGGCTCTGAATCCTCATGACCTCCTACCTCCACCACTCTGTCTCCTCCAGCCACCCTGGGCTCCTTGTTCAAGCCTGTTCCTACCCCAGGGCCTTTGCACTTACTATTCCCTCTGCCTGGTAGGGCCTCCCCCAGACCTCCACTCTCCCTCCTTCATTCAGGTTTCTGCTCAGGAGCACCTCCTCAGGGAAGCCCTCCCTGACCTCCCTAAAGGGAGTCCCTCACCAGTCTTTCCTCTGCTTTATTTTCCTTCACGGTCCTTATCACATACACTACTGTATATTATTCACTTGTTTAATATCCACTTCCCCGTTAAGAAGTGATTGCAGGGGCGCCTGGGTGGCTCAGTCGATTAAGCGTCTGACTTTGGCTCAGGTCATGATCTCACGGTTTGTGGGTTCGAGCCCCACGTTGGGCTCTGTGCTGACAGCTCAGCGCCTGGAGCTGCTTCAGATTCTGTGTCTCCCTCTCTCTCTGCCCCTCCCCCACTCACACTCTGTCTCTCCCAAAAATAAAAAAACATTTAAAAATTTAAAAAAAATAAGTAATTTTACAAGCAAAAAAAAAAAAACACACAAAAACCTCGTCATCTGGTTTGTTCCATCATGTAAACTCAGGGCCTAGAAAAGCAAGGAAGCACGTTGTAGGTGCTCAGTTACTGCCTGTGGAATAAATGTCCCAGAGTCGCCTCAGAGAACCTCGGTACGGAAGGTTCAGGGCCCCTTGGCCGCTTTAGAATCAGCCCCTCCAGAGACCTTGGCCTCAAACATCACAACACAGTGAAATCGCTCTTTCTAGCAGCTATGATGACTTCAGCCAAAGGGCGGAGCCAGGTGACTCATCCAGACCCTATATGAAACAGACGGGAAAACCGAGGCACGGAGGGGTAGTTTACCCAGAGTCCAGAAAGGCCCTGTACTGCCGGGGGAAATGGTGTGGGCTGCTGATGGCCGGACCCAGGCTGGCGGCATCGTACGCGGGGAAGGCGTGGGTGACACGGGGTGGAAGAGGGGCTAGCGAGGCTGGGTCGCAGCGGACCCCGTGTGAGCCGCACTGGGGAGCCACAGACGGATCCGCAGGAGGAACGGGAAGGAGCGGGCTGCAGGTCCGAGGGGCCAATCAGGGCGGGGGCGTGGTCAAGCAGGGGGCGGGGCCTGCGAGAGCGGGCCAGTGGGGCGAGGGGGCGGGGCCTGCAGCGCTCCTCGGGGACCCAGAAAGAGGCACGGCGGGAGGGCGCTGATGGCTTTTCCAGAGAGGAAGCGGGGGAAGGTGCCAGGAAGAGATAAGGTGGGAGGGCGAGCGGGGCCGGGGCGCGGGTCCCGGGCTCCGGGGTTTGTCCGGGTTTCCGGAGCCGCCTCCCGCCTGGCGGGGGCACCAGGTGTCCGGCCCGCCCCCGCCCCTCTGTCCCACGGTCCTGGGCCCCAGCTCCCCGCCACTGTCCGCTGTCCCCGAGGGGCCTGGGGACAGGGGTCCGTGAGGTATGAGGGCGACCCAGAGAGACGCGGAGACGCAGAGGGAGAGCTGGAACGAGAGTGGGGCGAGAGATGGAGAGAGAGAAGGGACAGAGAATGAGAGGAGAGGAAGAGAACGAGAGAACGAGTAAGAGGGAGAGAGACGACAGCTATGAAAGAGGGAGAAATGTGGGGGCGCTTGGGTGGCTTAGTCGGTTAAGCGTCCGACTTTCGCTCAGGTCATGATCTCGCGGTTCGTGGGTTCGAGCCCCGCGTCGGGCTCTGTGCTGACTGCCAGCTCAGAGCCTGGAGCCTGTTTCAGAGTCTGTGACTCCCTCTCTCTCTGACCCTCCCCTGCTCACGCTGTCTCTCTCTCTCTCCTAGAAATAAATTAAAAATAAATAAATAAATAAAAGAAAGAGGGAGAAATGAGATACACACATACATATATATATGTATGAGACAGAGACAGAGACAGTCCAGAGCCTGGATGGGGGAGGAGAGAAAGGTGGATTCTGAAGGCTTGGAGCCATCCACACCGGGCCGCTCCCTCCCAAGGAGGATTCCTGGGGTGGGGGTGGGGGCCCTGACTCACCCCCTCTCTGCTGCTCCTTAAACCAACACCTCAGGCTCCTCCACCTCCCATAACCTCCCAGGCCTCCCTGCCCGCCCAGCTTCCTGCCCCACCCCCACCCTGGCAGCCTCCCCTGTGAATGTTCCATTTGGCCTCCAAAATCGCTCTCAGACCAGTGCTCTCCTCCTCTCCCCCAAGGCCCTGTTCCCATCCAGCCTCCTCCCTGGCCTCTGGTCTGTCTCACCGCCCTTCAATCCACTCGCTAGAAGGCAGCCCGAGTATGACTCTGTCTCTCCTCTGCTGGAACACTTCCATAGCTCCCCAGTACCCTCAGGACACGGGCGCAGGCTCTAGGCCACAGCCCCGGGTGGTCTGACTCCCGCCCACCTCACAGCCTCAGATTCGGTTACATGCACTGTCTACACTGGGTTCAACACTGACATCCTCCCTCTGGCGCGAACTGGCCATGCTCTAATCTCCAGTCCATGCACTTGCTAGTCCCACTCTCTAGAATATTCCCTTCATCACTCTCCAGTTTGCAGCTCAGATGTCGGCTCCTCCAAGAAGCCCCCAGCCCCAATTCCCTGCTGAGCTCCCCAGTACCAACCCTGCCCACGCTGGGCCATCACTGCCTGGGGATGGGTCTGACTCCTCCCCTGAACTGCGCTGGTCACTGCTGTAGCCTCTGAAGCCGCCCCCCCACCCCCACCAGCACAGGGCCAGGCACCGGACAGGATGTGTTGAACGAGAGTGTTTGTTCAAGTGCCATCGGTCCAATAAATAGTTACTGAGCACCAGCTCTGCTCCAGGCTGAGCACCAACTCTGTTCCAGGCGCTGGAGGTAGAGCGGCAAATGAATTCAGACATCTCTGATTCTGTGGAGCTTAAATGCAGGCGGAGGCACGCAGGAAACCCAGAAACTCAAAGAACGGATAATGTAAGGCGGCAGTGGAGGCTGTGAAGAAAACTAGAGCACGGATAAAGCAAGACGGGAGCGGGGGAGAGAGTTACAGTCCTAAAAAGGCAGGGCGGGCAAGGAAGCTTTCCTGAGCATGCTGAGCCAGGTCTGGGAGGAGGAGGTGAGGAGTGGGCCAAGCGGGAGAGCCAGGTGGGAGGCAGACGAGGAAGGGGGGGGGGGGTTCCAGGAGAGGGAACGGTAAGTGCAAAGGCCCTGAGGTCAAAGCGAGGAGGACAGCGTGAAGTGCAATGGATGCCGGGAAGGGGACGGAAGACGAGGGTGGAGAGGAAAAGCAGCGCGGAGGAGGGCGGGGCACAGGGAGGGCTTGGGCCCCCCACTCCGCCTTGTGCCTGTTGGAATCTGTTAGACTAACTCATCAGAGACTAGCAGCCAAGTGCACGGGGACAGGAGGCGGGGCGAGCGCTGGCCCCGCCCCCGCCCGCCCCTCGCCCCGCCCCCCGCGCGGCTCACCCGCACTAGCCGGGCCCGCTTCACCAGGTCGTTGAGCTTGCGCAGTGCGGCGTGGCGCGGCAGGCCCTGGATGTCCCGGAAGAGGTCCTGCTCCTCCAGCTCGAAGAGGCGCCGGTTGTCGGGCACCAGGAGGGGCTGGGACCAGAAGGAGCCGATGTAGACGCGCAGCACCTCGGGCGTGCCCACCACCTTGCCCAGCGCCCACATGAGCGCCCCGTAGACGCGCATCAGCTGCTGCGTCTCCACCATGTCCGCCTTGTTGAGCACCACGCGGATCTTGTCCTCATGGCCGCGGAGCGCGCCGATGGCCTCCGAGAACTCGTCGGAGATCTCCAGCTTGTGCGCGTCGAAGAGCAGGATGATGAGGTCCACGCGCTCGGCGAACCAGCGCAGCACCGCCGGGAAGTCGTAGCCTGGGGGGACGCGGTGGACTCGGTCAGCCTGCCCCCCGCCCGCCAGCCGCGCCGAAGCATCCACTCCTCTGGACTGACACCGGGCCGGACAGTCGTTCAGGTCGCTGACTCTCAAAACCCTTCTCTGCGAGAAACAGCCAAGGCCCCAAGCGCATCCCGCTGCTCTGCCCCCCCCCCCACCAGCCCCCCCTTCCCCATCACCCTGGCCCCAGTCCGTCGGGCCACCTGACTAGAGAGGACAGTCACCCGCCCCCTTCCCATTCATTCCTTAGGCAGATATAAGTGGTGTGCACTGGTCCAGACGTATAGGTTGTCAAAGTACTGAACTGTTTCTTAACAGATTTTCTGTGCCCCTCTGAACCCCCCAGTCTCCCCAAGTGCCTCCATCACCCCAGCCCCGCCCTAGGCCTTCCCGATCTCTCCACAGTCCAACAGCTAAAGAGGTCATGCTGGCTGCGGTCCCGCTCTGGCCATAACAGATGGTAAATATTTTGAGTTTATTTAACAATATTTACAGAGAGTCTTCTGTGTGCCAGGTTCTATCCCGGACACCGGGGATACCTCAGAGCACACAGAGACAAGTCCTCCCTTTTCGCGGAGTACTTGTCTCAACAACTGGCTCCTGTGTCGTTCATTTGTTCATTCGTTCATTCGTTCATTCATTCATTCATTCATTCCCTCATTCATTCACACTGTCCGCTCTTGCTGCTCACTCGTTCATTCAACAAGCGATGCTCAGGAGAGTGGAGATGAGTGTTGGCAGTCAGGAAGACCTGGGTTCGAATCCCAACTCTGCCCCCCCACCTCAGCTGTGTGACCTTAAGCAAGGGGGAAACCTCTCTGAACCTCTGTTTCCTCTTCTGTAAAATGGAAGTCATGACAGAATATAACTTGTTGGGCTGTTGCAAAGATTAACGGAATAAAAATGAGCTAGTATACATAAAGAGCCTAAGGGGTGCCTGCGGGGCTCAGTCAGTTAAGTGTCTGATTCTTGATTTTGGCTCAGGTCATGATCCCAGGGTCATGGGAGCAAGCCCCAGTTCAGGCTCTGCGCTGGTCTCTCTCCCTCTCTTTTTCTCCCTCTCTCTGCCCCTTCCCCACTCTCTCTTTGTCTCTGTCTCTCTCTCTTAAAAAAAAAAAAAAAAAAAAGAGGGGCACCTGGGTGGTTCAGTCGCTTAAGAGTCCAACTCTTGATTTTAGCTCAGGTAATGATCTCATGGTTCGTGAGATCAGGTCCCGCTTTGGACTCTGTGCTGACATTACAGAGCCTGCTTTGGATCCTCTCTCTCCCTTTCTCTCTCTGCCCCTCCCCTGTTTGTGCATGCTCTCTCTCTCTCAAAATAAATAAAAAAAAAATTAGGGGCGCCTGGGTGGCTCAGTTGGTTAAGCGTCCAACTTCGGCTCAGGTCACGATCTCATGGTTTATGGGTTCAAGCCCTGCGTCAGGCACTGTGCTGACAGCCAGCTCAGAGCCTGGACCCTGTTTCAGATTCTGTGTCTCCCTCTCTCTCTGACCCTCCCCTGCTCATGCTGTCTCTCTCTGTCTCTCAGAAGTAAATAAAACATTAAAAAAATAATAAAAAAAAAAAAGGTGAGCTACAGGCATGTAAAACTGTACTTCAAATAAACCGTTAAACAAACGGCCTGGGAACATGGTGAGTCCTTGACAAGTACGAGTCACGATGCACGCAGGACACCGTGGGTGTGTCATTCAGGGACCGTCCCCAGGATAATGCCAGTCCTGTTCTCATCAGGTCTGGTCCACCAAGGACACAAACCCAGCCCCAGGGTGGTCAGGCTGGGCTGGGGGAGCCCAGCAGGGGCACGTGACCCAGTCTGGGGCATCAGAGTGGGCTTCTCGGAGGAGGGGGTGCAATGGCGATCTGGGGGACGAGACGTTAACTGGCAGAGCAGGGAGCCACCGCTGACTCACCTGGCATCACTTCAGCCTCTCCCTGACTCAACTCCCAGGGTCTTCAAAATGACCTCAGGAGACAGGGGGCCTTATGAACCCCATTTTCCAGAAGAGGAACTTGAGGACTGGGTGGGGGACTTTGTTGGGCGGGAAGGTCCAGGTAACCAGAGGAACGGCCTCTGGGGCTCCCTCTCTCCCCAGTGTCTACACACACACACACACACACACACACACACAGAGGCTGGGATCTGGGAAGTGTGTCTCATGCGGGCAGGCGGGAGGGAGGGAGATTGAGTCAGCGTGGGAACGAGGGACGTGGCAGGGAGCGCCCCGGGGGTTTACAGCTACGGCGCTCAACACAGGCACACAGTTGTTAGCACACCCACAGCGCCTACTGTGTGCCACCCACGGAAGCACTTGGCAGGGTTTGACACTTAATTTTACCCCTCTGTGCAGCCTCCGAGGCTGATACTATTACTGTTCCCGTTTTACAGATGAGGAGACTGAGGCAGGGAGAGGTTCAGAGACTTGCCCAAAGGGCACAGGCTAAAAATAGCAGAGCCCCAGGCCGGGGCTCAGTCGAAGGAGCGTCAAACTCTTGGTTTCAGCTCAGGTCATGATCAGGTTCGTGAGTTCGAGCCCGGCATCAGGCTCCGTGCTGACAGTACAGAGCCTGCTTGGGATTCTGTCTCTCTTCCACTCTCTCTGCTCCTACCCTGCTTGCTCTCTCTCTCTCTCAAAATAAATTAATAAACTTTAAACATAATTAAGACTACCAGAGCCCGGATTTGAGCCCCACCAGAGTCTCCGCTGTGCTGCCTACAGTCACACATCTGTGCACGGGTATTACAAGCAGGGGCAGCCCGCGCCCCACCAGTGCGCATGCGTGAACACATGTGTGGACACAATCGTAGCCACATGCTCCACAGAGCAGACTCCCAGACACACCCTTGCTCACACAGCCTTGCACTCGCAAAGACACAACTATGCACGGAGATAAGTCAGACGCAGCCACACACAACCCAACAAAAGTCCCTGGATCTCAGTCCTATGCGGCCGCACAAAATCACACACAGGTACCGGCGTGTCCCTGACACACCAACACGCGCACACACACACACACACACACACACACACCCCGACTCTCTTCCCCTTCCTCTACCCACCCTGCCAGGGAAGGAGACCCGATCTCCACTCTCTGCTCCCCAAGCCTCCAGCGCCCACCCGGCGCCCCGCCCACTCGCCCAGGCCCAGCCCCGGGGGGCGGTGCCCCAGGAGCCCCCAGCCCACCCCCCCCCGCCTCCCCCCTCGCGCTGGCTGCTAGCCCGCCCTCCGATCGCTTCTGCAGCTGCCCCCTGCCTGTTTCCCAAGGGGACGCGCGCCCGCTGGGCGGAGGCCAGGGACGCGGGAGCCCTCCTCGCCCTCGCCCTGCCCCGCGGCCCGGCCTCCCGTGCCCTCTGCCCTACAAGGCAGCCTCCTTTGCCCCAGTGCCGGGCCTCCAAGAAAACTGCGGGTTGGCTGGGGAGGGGGGCGCAGATGCTGAGCTGGCCGGGCCGGGGTGGGGGCCGGCTCCCCCGAGGCCCCGCTGGAATTCACTCCCCGCAGCTCCCCCTGCACAGCTGTTTATAAATTCCAGGCCGGGCCTTGGCCGGAGCCCAGATCCCCCCTCCCAACCCCTGCTCGGCCCCATCTGCGGCCCAGAAGTAGGAGGCAGGAGCGTGCCGGGCCCAGGGCCTCCCTGGCCGGCCTCTGCCTCCTCTTCGGGGCTCCTGTCTCCTGTACGGCCGTCCCGCGCTCAGAATCTTCGTCCCTGACCTTCCGTGTCTCCCTCGGTCTCTCTCGGTCTCTCCCTCTCCATCCCTCCGGCCAGCCCAGACACGAAGCTGCTCCCTGCTCACACGTGTTCGCGTTCGTGCGCACGCCTCCCCAGCACCCTCAACGTGCGGAGACACGGAGGGATCACGGCCTCCGGCGGCTCCCTTCTGCTCGGCCCGCTCAGGACCGGCTGACACGGGCCCACGTCCCAGCAGACACCCGGCCGCCTCCTCCCTCCACTGGCCCACTCACCGCGGCTCACTCTCTGTTTGGCTCCCGACAAGATGCCTGGGGTGTCGATGATACTAATACTCTCCAGGACCTGATTGGGGAGCTGGGCGCACATGAACCTGACAGAGAGGGAAAGGCAGGGGTCAATGCAGGGAAGGGCGAGGGGAGAGGCCCTGTAACAAAGGAGACTAGGGCTCCGCAGACGGTGAATCAGGCACAGGGAAGGAAGGATCTCGAAAGAGGAAAGGAAGATCAGGACGGAGAAGAACACTTACTTAAGGGGAAAAAAAATCACGGGCGCCTAGGTGGTTCAGTTGGTTGAGCGACTGACTTTGGCTCAGGTCGTGATCTCACAGATAGTGAGTTCGAGCCCCACATCAGGCCCGGACCTCTCTCTCTGCCCCTCCCCTGCTCACACACACACAGTCTCTTTCTCTCTCATAAATAAACACTGGGGCACCTGGGTGGCTCAGTCAGTGAGGTATCCGACTTTGGCTCGAGTCATGATCTCACAGTTTGTGGGTTCAAGCCCTGCGTCGGGCTCTGTGCTGACAGCTCAGAGCCTGGAGCCTGCTTCATATTCTGTGTCTCCCTCTCTCTGCCCCTCCCTCTCCTGTGCTCTGTCAGAAATAAATATTAAAAAAAGAATAACAGTAAAAATTTTTTTAAATTACAGAGGATGTTTACTGAGCACTTACTCTGTGCCAGGTACTGTTCTAAGCGCTATGTGAGTGGGGACCATGGTTATCCCCATTTCCCAGATGAGGCACAGAGAGGCTCAGAGAGGTTAAGTTATTTGCCCAGAAGCCACCCAGCTAGAGAAGAGTTGGACCCAGGCAAGCTGGCTGCATGCGCCCTCGAGGGGGGAGAAGGGCCGAGGCAGGAAGGGGGAGAACCAAGAAGAGAGAAGGGACCTGGGGCTGAACCGAGAGAATCGCGTGCAGGGCAGGGACGGGGCCCAGGCACAGGGAGATGCGCCCGTGCCTCCCGAGCTGCGAGCTGCGTACCTGTTGAGGAAGGTGTTCCCGAAAGGGTTGAGCTTGCGGAAGGGCTTGTCCGGGTCAACCACGAGGGCGTTGCCGGGCACGGTGCCCTCGGTGTCCCCGTGCATGACGGCCACGAAGCAGTCGGTGGTGGGCTCGGGCCCCACGCGGGAGCCCGGTACCTCCTGCTCCAACAGATACTGGATAAAGCTGGTTTTGCCGGTGCTGTACTGACCGGCCACCAGCACCATGGGCTTGCCGTCGAAGTCGGCATCCTCCAGGGCCGGCGAGTGGAAGGCCCCGAATCGATAATGCTCCTCGAGGGGTAGCAGTTTGGTGCGGTACAGCTCCTTGAGGGACGAGGTCACCGTGCGGATGGCCTCGGGCTGCTGGCCCCGCGCCCCGCTCCGCTTCAGCCAGCTGAACATGGTGGCCGCTGGGCTCGCCGCCGCCGCCGGAGATGTGGGGGTGCGCGTGGGGGGCTGCCTGCCGGAAGAGCAAAGGGTATTGATGGGGGGCTGCCTGGTGGAGGGGGAGGAGAAGGAAGGGAGCCGGAAGGTGCAATGGGTGGAGGAGGGTGGGGAATGGGTAAAGGCGGAGCAGCAGAGAGCACGGATGGCGATGGCGGAGGGCAGGAGGTGACGTTCAGGGAGGAAGAAGGGGACCATCCCAGCGGGAGGAAGAAAAAGAGGCTAGCGGTGGAGCGGCTGAAGAAGCAGGATTGGACGGGGACCGAGGAGAATGGACAAAGGGAAGCTGTGCAAGCTGCGTTCCTTCACCCATTCATCCTTTCCTTCCTCCCTTCCCCCTGCTTCCCTCAATTCACACATTTTCACTGAAATCATGTGTCAGGAGCTATGGATCCAGAAATAGGACTAAGGGTCCCCACTCAGAGTCCCCGCAAGGAGAGGACCTGGCACCAAGCAGTCGATGGTGCCTGGGAAATGCCAGGCGGTGGGCTTGCGGGCAGTGGAGCGGGGGACACCGTGAACTGACCACAGCCTGGCAAACTCTGGCTGAGGTGACTTTTGAACTGCTTGCTTTCATGCAAAACAGGGATGCAGTGCAAAACAGGGAGGGGGATGGTGTGTGCTTGGAGCGTGAGACGCATGAAGAGGTTGCTGGACACAGGAGGGGCGAGAAATAAGGCTGAGGAGTTGCTTGGGTGCACCGAGGTGCGAGGGGCCTCAGAGGATCGCAAGAATCATAACATTTATGATCGCGGCATTCCAGACACCGCTCTAACCCCTTTCACCTTCATAACAACACTGTAAGATGGGGCTGTTAATATCCCCAAGTTTCTGACTCACGAAGGGGGCTCACTGACGAAGAGAACAGTAACTTGCCCCAATCACTTGCTCAGAAAGTGCTCGGTCTGGGGCTCCAGGCAACCTGACCTCAGAGCCTGTGCTCCTATCATAGGTCTAAGGAGTCAGGAGAACAGATGACCCGCCCAGCAGCAGCAAGCACCCCGGCACCCAGACTGTGTTCTCTATGTTCCCTTACTGTCTTTTCATCCTCTGTAGGATCTGTAGTGCTGCCCCCTCTTTCATGCCTCATATCAGTCATTGGTGTCTTCTTTCTTTTTCTCCCTTGATCAGTCTAAGTAGATGCTTATAATTTTACTGATCTTTTCACAGAACCAGATTTTGGTCAGATTGGCGTCTCCAGACACCGCTTTTCATTAAAAAGCGAAGCAAAACAAACAAACAAAAAAAAACATGAAAAACAGGGCTTCTTGGAGAAAGGGCTGATTCCATGGCTGGGGCAAGGGAAGAATAAGTGAACCTGCATCAAGTACTGGAAAGGGGCTCAAAGATGTGTCACGGGGACCCAGGGGCCACCCTGAAGGAGCCCTCACTGGCCAAATACGGGACCGTTTGAGCATCAAAATGGACTGCCAATCAAAAATGTTAGAATCCGTAAAATCACAATGATACTTAAAGGAAACTAAATAAATAAAAAGGGAAAGAGTAGGGGAAAGCGTGCCAGGGGGGTAAAGGAGAGGCAGGAGCTGGGAACTGGGATGTTGGCGGAGGGAGGGGGCCCTGGGCGGTGTCCTGGGCAGGGAGGGGTCTGAGGGACAATGTGGGGGTGGCTGGACAGTCCCCGGGGCTGGTGGAGTAGGAGAGGAGCCCCGGAGTGGGAGGAGGGGGTGAGGCCAGTGGAAGGGAGACTAAGGAGCGGATCGCTTCTGGCTGATTGGGTGGGGACGCGAGCCGGGACCCCGAGCGCGACGGGGAGGAGCGAGGAGGGAAGGGGGCGCTGTTACAGACTGGAAGGAAGGAGCTGGCGGGACTCGGGGAGGCCAGGAGGTTTCCTGGAGGGTTGGCAACAGGGACATCGGGGACACCGTTACACACTGCGGGAGCGGGGGGGGGGGGCGGGCGGAGGGTCTTAGGGAAGCAGGGGATTCATCCCGAGCTGGGAAGCGGCAGCTGCGGCCGGGGGCCACTCACCGATGGGGCGCGCGGGCGGCTGCACCGGGCGGCGGGCTGGACGGGGGTCCCGCGGGGATCCGAGGCGCCCGCGGAGCGGCCTGTGCTCGAGGTCCCGTCCGGAGCCGTCTGAGCCGGGTGGGGCCCGGAGCGGGGAGGCGGGAAGGGAGGGGCGGGGGGGGCGGGACCAGGTGCCCCCCCCTCAAACCGGGAGCCCGGCCTCTGGCGCCCCCTGGTGGGGAACGTCTGGGCGGCTTCTCGACATGGGTCCCAGAGCCGGGCTTCCAAGCCGGGGCTCAAACCCCGTTCCACCTCGGACGCTGGGCCACTCACTCCTGGATCTGTGGCATCTCTTAACATGCGAATACTAGTATTAATACGACTAACAACAACGACAGCAGCGGGGCATATAGGTAGCCCAGTCGGTTGAGGCTACCGCTTGGCTCACGTCACCATCTCCCAGGTTTGTGAGTTCGAGCCCTGCCTGGGGCTCGCTGCTGTCAGCGCAGAGCCTGCTTCGGATCCTCTGTCCCTCCTTCCTTACCCCTGCCCCGCTCGCGCGCGCCCTCTCTCAAAAATAAATTAAACATTAATAAAAGAACAGCAGCAGTAATAACTTATTTTATTTTTTACAAAAATTTTCAAATGTTTTATTTTTATTTCTTTCTGAGAGAGAGAGACAGTGTGAGCAGGGGAGGGTCAGAGAAAGAGGGAGACACAGACTCTGAAACAGGCTCCAGGCTCTGAACTAGCTGTCAGCACAGAGCCCGACGCGGGGCTCGAACCCACAACCGTGAGATCATGACCCGAGCCGAAGTTGGACGCTTAACCAACTTAGCCACTCAGGTGCCCCAGCAATAATAATTTAAAAACTTAACTGAGTTCACGAAATTCCTCGCTCACAACCCCCACCCCACCTCCTCTCTACAGAACTCAAAGCAAAACCAAAAGCCCTAAATGGGGCCCAGAAGACCATTGGCAATCTGCCCCGTCCCTCTGCCCTCACCCCCTGGTTCACTCCCTGGCTCACTCCATTCCAGCCACGCTGGCTTCTTTGATGTTCCTCAAACACACCCACAGCCATGTAACCTCAGGGCCTTTGCACTTGCTGTTCCCACCATCCAAACCGCTCTTCCCACAGGGATCCTAACAGCTCCCTCCCTCCCCTCCTTTGCATCTGTGCTCAGATGTCACCTCCTCAGAGAAGCCCTCCCTGAGCTCCCTGCTTAATGCAGCCCCCACCATCCACCCATTATCATTGCGTTATTTCCTCCACAGTTCTACTCCCATTCTACACAGGCTACATTTCTCTGCTTAAGAGACCGGCTCCCAGGCAAGAACACAAGCCTCACGAGGGACAGGGATTTCGCACTGGGTGGCTTCCTGCTGTGCCCCCAGGCCAGCACAGGTCCCGAAACACCACACGGACTCAGTAAATACTTGCTGACTTAATCTTTCACTATTACTGAGCACTTCCTATGAGGAGTGGGCATTGCTATCCCCATTTTCCAGATGAGACAACCGAGTCCCAGAGGAGTGAAATAAAAAAGCACAGAGGGGGGCACCTGGGGGCTCAGCCATGAGCACCATCAACCAGAATAGAGATGTTAGTTTTCCTTTTTGAAATTTTATTTTTGTTTACTTATTTTCAGGGTGACTTATTTCTAATCTCTCCCTGCACATGAATGTCAGCAGGGATTTGTGTCTGTTTTGTTTAGTGTTGGCACCCAGTGCGCACTCGGGCAAATATTTAATCGGTTGTAGGTAATGTACATAATTGGGGTGGCAAAAATGTTCTTTTTTTTTTTTTGAGAGAGAGAGAAAGAGCGTGCAAGTGAGCGAGGGGCAGAGAGAGAGAGAATCCCATGAGGGGTGGGGTGGGAGAATGGATATATATATAGAGAGAGAGAGACAGACAGAGAAGTGAGGCTCATGTTTTTACCCAAAGTGGGACCCCAGCTTACCCGATGTGGAGCTCGAACTCACAAACTGTGACATCATGCCCTGAGCCGAGATCAAGAGTCAGGTGACCAACTGACTGAGCCACCCAGGCGCCCCTGAATCGTACGCTTTAAATGGGTGAATGGGCGCCTGGGTGGCTCAGTCGGCTAAGCGTCTGACTTCAGCTCAGGTCATGATCTCACTACTCGTGCTGACAGCTCGGAGCCCGGAGCTGCTTGGGATTCTGTGTCTCCCTCTCTCTCTGCCCCTCCCCTGTTCATGCTCTGCCTCTCTCTCTCAAAAATGAACAAACATTAAAAAAAAAACCCAACCAGGCCTGGAGGGAGCGGTGACTGACGCTCTTACTGCGACAAGCCTGGTCCTGTTCAAACACCTCGACACGGGTCATCTCCCTTCCCCGCAGAAGCGACCCCATAGTTCTTCTGAGCCTGCTGCGAGCTCGGATGAGATCCCGGAGGGGCTGAGAACTTGGCCATGGAGAGGAAAACGACCCCGGCTCTTGCACTGAGGTTTCGCGGTGTGTCAGCCACGACCGGAAGAAAGCGCGTGCCTTCGCGGACCCGGACCCACACCACGGAGGGGACTGTGGACGTTTGCAGCACGTAGAGGTTGTCGTGTGGGATTTCTAGTAATTGTGTTTTTTTAAATGTTTTTTTTTAATTTATTTCTAGGAGAGATAGAGAGAGACAGCGTGAGCAGGGGAGGGTCAGAGAGAGAGGGAGTCACAGACTGAAACAGGCTCCAGGCTCCGAGCTGGCAGTCAGCACAGAGCCCGACGCGGGGCTCGAACCCACGAACCGCGAGACCATGACCTAAGCGAAAGTCGGACGCTTAACCAACTAAGCCACCCAGGCGCCCCGTGATTTCTAGTAATTGTTTACTCACCACCGACTAGACCCACCAGTAGCTCGGTCTAATTAGTGTCTCTTAACGGCAGCCCTCGCAACAGCGTCACGGATCGGGGGAGGGGGGGGCTTCAAAGACCCTGTTAGGTGGATTTCAGTATAATGGGTCCCCTCGTAATCCTCTGGGTTTTACTCCGTGCATTTGGAGGCATAATTGTAGAAGGGGGTCAGTGGGGTGAAAAAGCGCCTAGTTAACACTCCCTGCCCCAGTAAGCATGCGTCGAGCTCTAATAACCAAGGCTGCTCCCTCGTCCTCCTCTCTCCCTGATCTCGAGTCCGGGGCAGCCTCGCGAGACCTCTGCCCAAGGCACAAGCTCAGAATTTTTTTTTTGCCCCTAGCTCTCTCCCTCCCCACGCGTTAAAACCGGATGGAGAAATTCTGGCGCGCGCTACAGCATGAACCATGGCGACCTTGTGCCGAGTGTCATAAGCCAGTCACGGAAGATCAGATACTGTTGGCTCCACCCCTGAGGGGCTAATAGCAGCCCGAGCCATCCAGACAGAAAGTGAAAGGGTAGTTTGCAGGGCTTGAGGAGAGGGGGCAGGGGGAGCTGGGGATTGACAGGGACAGAGTTCCAGGGTCTGAGGGGATGGTTGCACCAGGGGAAGGCACTTAGTGCCACCGAACAGTGTGCTTAGAAACGGTTAAAATCGCGGCGCCTGGGTGGCTCAGTCCGTTCGTGGGTTCGAGCCCCGCGGCCGGCTCTGGGCTGACAGCTCGAAGCCTGGAGCCTGCTTCAGATTCTGTGTCTCCCTCTCTCTCTGACCCTCCCCTGCTTGTGCTCTGTCTCTCAAAAATAAATAAACGTCAAAAAAAAAAAAAAAAGAAAAGAAAAGAAACGGTTAAAATGCTAAATTTCACATTATGCATGTTTTACCACAACTACATAAAAAAAGCCCAAACAGTTGGAGAAGGAGGCCAGCCAGGCTGGTAGTTAGCGATGAGCTTCGGGGTGACCTGAACCCTGAGCTAGCTGTTCTGGGCCTCTTTTTCCAGATACTTCAGCTGCAGGAAAGGAGACGCCACAGGCCCCCCACCGAGATTAACTTCGGCTCCTTCTGGGATCTGTGAGCAAGTGAAGTGTGGTCCCTGGGGCTAACTTGGCAGGAGCTGAGATCAGTTTCGGTCTCCTCCCCCAGCGGGTGGGGGGCTCTGGCTCCTGCACTGTCCTCCTGGGAAGGCCTTGCTGAGGGCCCCCAGCTCCCTGGGAAGCCGAGTGTGCAGAGCCAAGGTCGCGGGCTTGCAGCCAGACCACCTGGCGGGCAGCCCAGCCTGCCAATGACGGCATCCCTCGGGGCCACAATTTCTTCATCCGTAAAATGGGGTACCAGTCCCCACACTGGGGCCTCTGGGAGGACCAGATGAAATATCCCGGGTGGAGGGCTTGAAACAGTGATCGGGCTGCAGGCAGCCAACTTTCCCGAATTTCCGCGGAAATCACCCGCGAACTTTTTGGCGCAGCCACGTGGGGTCCCCGGAGCGGGCGCGGATCCAAGGATGTTAAGAAACGCGCTCTTCTGGGCATTATTTCGCACGTGGGGAAGTAGACAGACAGCTAGGACGGGGGGAGGGGTCGTCTCTCTTTCAGAGACCCCACAAATCAGCTCCCCCCTTTCATAAGTCCCCCCAGGGCCTGCAGAGAAACGGGGCGCGTGCTGGACGCCTGGACCGCGCCGCCGCCCGCTGGCTGGGCTCCGTTTCCGCAATCGCCCCGTCTGTTCCTCACGCGGCCGCCAGAGGGCGCCCGGGAAACCCAAGTCGGCTCACAGCCCTCAGCTTAGGACCTTGCCCTTGGCTCACCGCTGGCTCAGCGAAATCATCGCCATCACTGCGAAGCACAGGGTTCTACACCATCGGCCCGCCGGGTTCCCTCTGATCTCCCCCTCGTTCCTTCTCTCCCTCTCTCACCCTCCAAAGAGTCCAGCCACATGGGCGGGCCTCCTTGCAGTCTCTTAAACAGTCCAGACACGCTCCGGCCTCAGAGCTCTTTCTGCCTTGGGTGCTTCCCACCCGCCCCCCCCCCCCCAAGATCTCACTGTGGCGCTCTCGCTACCATTTCATGTATATCTCTGTTCAAATGTCACCTCCTCAAAGGCGTTTTCCTTTCCTACTGATCCCGAGTGTCCTAACGTGTAGTTCCACAGGTTGTCCACTGCACAAAGCACTCACTGAACCACCCGTTCACTCACTGAACCACCAGAGGGGGCTGGAATCCGGCTCACACCGTGCGCTTCAGAACTCAGTGCCCAGGG